AAATGTAAAGCATTCAAATAGAAACTATCTTAACATCCTATTCTCCCACATTTGTAACAAATTGAAGATAGATTCTCATATTCAAATTTTTTAAAAAATCTACCATGCAACCCTTCAAACCATATTCCAGTAGGAAGTTTAGAGTTCAAATTAACTCGGATAGATGCTCTATCAAACTCTCTTCTTCCCCACCTAAACATATTACCATCTAATAGTAATGGAGTTCCAATCCTAGAGACAATTATAGTGATATTGGACTCATCCCAACAGTGAAGGGGTAAGTGAGGAAGACGAACCCATAATGGGGAAGAAACGCCCTCCAATGAATTAGAAGAGAAATTGGGAGACCATTTGTCTAACCCAATTGCAAAACCTCCTACGAACCAAAGTCCTCCATTGAGGACTTCTTCTATAGCTTCATGAGATTGAAAGGAACATAATAGCCAATCTAGGCCAAGCAGGGTTATGTGAAATCCTCCATATTTCTTCCATTGCTTTCTTAATTCAATGGAACATTTTGAGAAAGGAACATCTTTTGCAAGAATTTTAACCACCAAAGATTTATTTAAAACTTGAATATTGGATTTTTCTTTCTCCATATCCAATTTAACCACATTTGTATCTTCATTCTCATCCTTATTTTTATTCCAAGTAATTTTAATGTGTGGTTTTTTGATCCACACATTTGAATTATCCAAATTTGAAGAAGAATTAGGATTATTGATATTGAGGTCAATATCCTTGTTGTTCTTCATGATATCAACAAAAGTACTCTTTGAAGAAGAAGCTTCTTTGTCATTTGCACCAAACAAAGAATTCAGTGAAGGAGATATAGGTAAATTGTTAGAAATTACCTCTTTTCCTTTACTCAAATCTGGCAAGGCCTTATGTTTTGCCAACAAGCCTCCTTCTTTGATCACAAGAGGAGATTCTAAAACACGAAAATTGTGAGGGGATATGCATTTGAAGGAGAATCTACCTTTTGAGTACAACATGATTGGACTCACGGTAGATAAAATGGCTTTGGTGTTCCGATCATCCGTAGATGATCGGCCACCTTCTACCATCTCCAATTGAAGCAACTGAAATCTTCAAGTTCTTCTTCAAAATCCTTCCTTGATTTGTGGAGCTTCTCTCTTTTGCCCGTGGTTCAAGATTGTATTAGCTGGATTTGTATTTTTTTCTCATAAATTCATTACATGATAAAAAGATTCATCTTTGTTATTAATTAGAATAGAAGTAAATTAGTAAGCAAATAGTTTCTTTTAATCTAAAGAGGTAACTCAAATGTTTAAAAGTTAAAAAAATTGGTCAATAAATCAAATTAACAAAATTTGTTAATTTTAAATATCTCAAAATAGAATACTCACAAACACATAAATTTATAAACTATTCAAATTTGAAATTGCATTAGAGATCAATCAAAATAAAATACATAAATAAAGTTCTTTCCATTAATTTTTTTCAAAACATTTTTTTATTAGTGCCACTAACTTGATCCCATCATGCATGGGTGCAAAGTTTCTAATTATGGTGCCACGCTCTCTAGATAACTTTGATTGTTGCTCTTCAATGATCCTATTTAAGCCCTCCTGAATGAATATTCAATTCTTACCTTTTGTTTAACAATATTCTTCTAATGCTATGCCTTTATTTAGACCCTTTTTCTTGCATTCAAAATACCGATAAAATAAAATGTAAAGAAAAAAAAATCTACATTATACTATATAGCCTCATATCAAATGAGGAAAAAATATTTATAGGGTTAGTGATAGATTAGTTTTTAATTATTAGTTTTACTATTGATAAACTTAATTTTTTTCCTAAATAGTCAATAAGAAGAATTAATAAATAGGAGTTACTTTGAAGCAGTATAGAAACTAATTTCACAAATGTCTTAATTAAGACAAACTTAATGTGTTATTTTTAATCAAGCTTTCCGATCAAACAAAAATACCTTAAAAATTGAATAATTAGAAAAAAATTGAATGAAAGAGTTTACAAATTTTTGGTTGACTCCCTCAAATGCTTTTTTGGATCTCAAAGTATCTACTCTTCAAGGTTAGATGGCTTTACGGATCTTAGAGGAAGAAGTGAAATAGCTTGAAAAGACTTTTGATTTTACCTTATTTGGTATGTTTCCTTTGAGCAGACATGTGCTTGATACTATTTAGAATTTTTTTTACCCTTAAGCTTAATTGTGATTTTTGGGTAACCTTGTTGGATTAATGATCAGTGTTAATCAAGTTATCAAATGATTGTGAGTATGGAATGGTTTTTATACATAGCATGTATTACGTTAGCAATTATTTTATGAAGCTAATTAAATGGTCTCCCTTTTTTATATTTAAGAGGAATCCCCAATCATTTTCTTTTAGATTTCCTTTGTTGATCTTCAACTCCCTTTTTTTCCAATTGCATTCTCCTCGATCTGGATACTTTGTATGGCAATCCAATCCAAATGGTTAATTCAATTGCTATGGGTTCTAGACCATTGGTTGCTAGCATTCTTGTTAAACAGGAAATTATAAAAAAGTATCCCGAATCAGTTTTGCTTGGATTGAAGAAATATGGATATATTTAGAAGGTGATTTTTTAAGATTTACCTAGCTTTCTTATCATTCCATAGCGTTGGGTCATAAAAAAGTTGAATATCTTATTTTACACCTCTAAAGGAAATTTGTTATTCCTGAACCAAGTCTGAACACAGATAATGGCCATGTTCCTTTTGAGGATTATGATAAGATGTTTTTGAATTATCATAATTCTACTCTTAATAATGTGCATTTATGAATGGCTCCTTGATTTGTTCTATTAAACCTCCTTTTGAATATGTTTTTGTTAACACAAACGTTGATTCACCTCTAATTACTTCCTCTAGTACTAATTATTTAAAAATCTTTGATAAAATGGTTAAAATTAATCTTATTTTTGATATTTTTGGTCAGAATTTAATTTCTTTCTTTGTTGGTAAGAGTTTGTTGAATGATGGATGTTATGTTGTGTGTAATATGGTGGCTTCTAGTTATAATCCTATCATTGATTCTAATATTCCTATTGAAGGACTAGATGTTTCTAATAGTGTCCCTATTATTGATTTACCTATTCCGCCCATGTCGGATGCTGTGTTTATTAACTTGGATGGTGTGTTGCATATGGATTTGCACATTCATGACCCTGTTGATCACTCTGATTGGATTGAGGAATTCATAGGCAATAAGTGTTGTGTTGGGAATATAGAGGTAGTTGTTCTAATATATCTTTAGAGAATTTTGATTTAAATGTGATTAAAATTGAGAAAGTTGGATTCCCTATTATACAATTCCATTAAAACCATAGGATTAGATTGTAGAAAATTGAAAGTGGTGGCTAGATTAGTTCTTAATAAGCATCCTAAAATAAATTCAAGAGATATCGATGTATTATGATTCATTAAGTGAATTCTTATTCTTTGAAAATATTTCAAATAATATTAAAATTATTTAAAAAGAATTAGTTAGTTAAAATAGATGAAGGTTGTTACATATTTAAGGCATTTGCAATTTTGTACTTCTCCAGTCCTCTTTGTCACCACCATCCATCTCTTCTTTGTCATCCCACTCCTATCCTCCATAAGTTGTGTAAGTCAAGCAGGCTCTTGAGTCAGCTTCTACTCAGGATAATAGAAACCTCATTGTCCAAGCTTAATGACCTAAAGAGCTAAGCATGAGTCTACCTACTCTAAACTCATTAGCTCAAGAGATAGCTTGTTAAAAATATTAACATAAATTTTCTTTAAATATATAACCTTTTAAGAATTTAAGTACATAGTTGTTAAAAATATTTAAAAATTATATCGAACATCTTTATGAAACTGATTTCTTATCATTTTTCTTCTAATTTTTAATTTTTCTTTTTTCTTACAATTTTATTATAGCAATAGCTTGAGCAAGACTCATTTTCTCCCTTTCATAATCAATGAATGAGTTCATTAACCAAATCAAACTTGATAAGTTAAGTACTAATTTGAGCTTGAAGTTGAATATTTAATCAAGCTCAAGCTCAAAGCCAGCGGTGACACAAGCTCGACACGTGCCGTTTACACCCCTAACTCCGATACATTCAAAATTGAACTAGTTTAAATAATGACTAAAAATTCTACCATAATTATAAAATCTAAATGGTTGTACTAGGATGCTACCAATAGAAAACACTTCTCACAGAAGTAATCCATTTTTCTCAAAACATGATTCCCATATTTAAGCAAAATAAAACATATAACTTAATAAAAAAATTATTTAAATAAATGAAAGTTATTGATCAAAAAGTATAATTTTCATCAAAAAATCCAAGTCACTACCCTTTGTGGCTCAAAAAGATTTTTGTAATTAAATTGCATATTTTTTAAAAAGTATGGATTTATTTAATTAAGTCAATTATTTAATTTAGTTAGGAATTAAAATTAATTTTAGACACTAAAAAATCAAAATTCTTAAATTTTTTTTTTTTGAAACATAAATTAAGTTTTAAAAAAACTATTATTTTTAACTATTTACACTAATCAAAATTAACCGTTAGTTAACATGGGGTCATATTGTGGGTCTAATAATCAGATAGTGTTACTTTTTTTTTAAAGAAATGCATAAGATTGCATTAATAATAAGAAAAGAAAAAAGGAACAACTAAACACTATCATTACTAGATTCCTCCTTTAAAATTGACAAAAAAAGAGGAGGAACCTTTTTTTATGCTGATATCTTCCCACATAAAAAAAACTCAAAATGCCATAATTAGCACATAAATCCGGTAACTTATTACGTCTTTTATCAACACAATTGAAAATAATTTGATCAAAACCATAAAAAAGTTCCATATTACCATGCTTTGTAGTCCCCTTTTGTTGAGATTTTTGCAAGAGCTTCATCACATTAGCATTGTCTCCTTCAATAATAATGCCCTTATATTTGAACATCCATTCCTTGATCACCTCCTTGACAGATTGAGTAGCAAGAAACTCCAATGTAGAAATATCACAATTTACATACAGTTCACCAGAAGCCAAGAGAAATCTACTTTTGTAATCACGTACTACCCCTCCTATTCCAACTTTATAGGAAGGTAGTAAGGATGCATCCACATTGACCTTAAGCCAATCGGATGGAGGGGGATACCAATGAATGTTAGGCAACCTAGATGAACGATTAATATCCCATATACCCGAGATTTTACTAGAACCTTGAGCCATAAATGAGGAAAAACTCACTGCTTTAGCTCCAATAACTGAAGAAATTTCTTCTTTACCATTATGAATCAAGTTGTTCCTGGATTTCTAAGAGAAGAACACCACGTTACAATATAAATTGATCATAAATGATCTTTGTTTAGACATCCAGTTGCTGCACTCTGTCAAGGAATCAAATATAGGAAATTGAAATCCCCATTTCCCAATTTGAAGAATAACTTCTTTCAGCTTTGAGCATCTAGCCACAACATGATCTATGTCTTCATCTTCTAGACAATTTCTTGAACAGAGGTTACAATTATGTAATCTTCTATGTTCTAGCAGTTTGTTAATGGGAATAGAATCATTGAAAATTCTCCATCACAATGTATCAACCCTTGGGTTCAGTTTTGAATTTTTAATCCAACTCCAGTATTGCTTTCTACCAATATGAATATTAGAAATTTCAGAGATCATTGCAGAAATAGATTTGCCATTTAGCTGACGTAATAATTCTATCTTGTCTTCAATTGACTCATTATTAATATTAATTTGAGCAACTAAGTTAACAAGATCATTTCCCATATGTTATCTCATTGCTTCCTCATTCCATCTTCCATCAATGATAATATTGGAAACCGGAAAATTGCAGCCATCGTTTGGAATTATAAACGTTGGCCATTTGTTGAAACTTTTGTCCAGAATCCATGTATCATTAAATACATGAATGTCCACTCCATTGGCTACATTCCATCTAATAATTATGCTAAGAGACTTCCTTCAGCAATGATCTTCCAAGCTGAAGATCCCATCCTCCTTATAACTCCTTCTTTCAGTACATTCCCATATCTCGGGAAAAGAGCTTTGTGAACCAGAGAATCCTTATCAACCATGTATCTCCAAGCCAATTTTGTTCTCAAGGGGCCTACAATATTTGAGCAAGAGTGCAGCCCTCTTCCTGCCCGCTCCAAAGGAAAGCACATGACATTCCAATTGACATAATGAATGCCATGTTTACCATTAGATTTGTTCCAAATATAATTTCTGCATATCTTGTCAACTTCTTTAAGAATACTTTTAGGCACCATAGAATTTGTACAATAAAAAATTATAAAAGATAAAAGGATAGATTTAGCCAACAAAATCCTTCCTTCCAATGAAATCATCCTTCCTCCCCAACTAATTGTCATCTTCAAAGCTTTATAAATAATAAAATGGAATTCTTCTTTAACAAGTCTTCTTGTGGTTAACTTTATACTAAGATAATTCAGTTCTTTAGAAGCCTTGAACCACTTGAATACAATAGAATACCAATAGTGTCCTCTCTTTGTTTCAATGCATTAGAAAGAAATTGAGCACAAAGAATAAAAAGAAAAGGAGACAAGGGACATCCCTGCCTAAAACCACTCTTCCCCTCTATCCAATTAGATTGATTACCATTGAGAAGAATAGAGAATTTTGAATCTTGGACACATTCCAAAAAAAGGCTAGAGAATTTAGAAGGAAATCCAAAATACTCCAAGGATTTCCTTAAAGTAGTCCATCCCATTAAATCATAGGCCTGCTCCATATCTATTTTGAAAGTTACCAGTCCTTTTAAAGATTTAGAATGTTTGAGTCTATGCATAACCTCTTGAGAAATTAACACATGATATGAAAGAGATCTACCTTTCAAGAATGCAGCTTGTACTTCTGAGATCAATTTAGGAATAATCAAGGACATCCTGTTCAAAATGACCTTATAAACCATAGTACATAAGCTTATCAGTCTAAAGTTAGAAGAACCAAGGGGTTAGAGACTTTAGGAACAAGCACAATAATTATTTCCTTCCAATTAGGATCCATAACCGAAGAAACCAGAAAAGCATTGATAGCATTCCAAAAATCAATTTTAATAATCTCCCAATAAGCTTTTAAAAAAGAAAAAGGTAATTACATCATTACCTGGAGATACATCGGTGCCACCGATCTTGATCACTTCCTCCACTTCATTCAAAGTGAAAGCTTTGTACAAAAAATCTCTATCTCCATCATCAAGGGATGTCCACGGATTTGGCAAGTCTTCCATGCTGCAATCTCTACTCTTCCACTTTACTTTAAAGAAATTGAAAATCACATTTTCAATACTATGCTAATCTTCCAGATCTCCCCTTCTTCATTTTTTATTTTTGTTATGAAATTAGAATTTCTTCTGGCTGAAGCAAAAGTCTGAAAAAGCTTTGAATTTTGGTCCCCTTCCATCATCCACTTTACCTTTGCTCTTTGTCTCCAACAAGTCTCAATTCTATCAAGAGTAGAATTAAGCTCCTCCACCTCGTCTTAAGAATTTAATATGCTTGACTTTTAACTTAGGAGATTTAGACATCAATCACATCTAACATCATATAATGAATTTGCAAAGATCCGTGATACCTTAATATTTATAATTACTTTTTTTCCTATCTTATATCTTTAAATGGCATTGTGCCAATTTTGTATCATTACATGCCTTGGACCTAACTAAATTTCTACCCTATTTTCTTATTTATATTCTTTTATTTTATTTAATCCTATGGTTGATGTATCCTAAGCAATAGATTAGAAAAGTGGAGGGTTGTATTAGGTAGTCAACAGTAGCATAAAATTTAGTAACCAACCTTTTAGGATATTTTAAAATTTGGTGTCCCCATCACCCCAATGGATTTTAAATGGAATTTAGTAAATCGCATATCCATTATGATAGCTTTAAAGGGCTTGTTTTTTATTTCTAGTTTGTAAAAGTTGTTTCTTCTTTTTAATGCAATTTGCATTACTTCAAAAAAAAAAAAAGTAGCATAAAATTAGTCTTTTTTTTTTTAAGAAATGCAAAAGTTGCATTAAAATGAAAGAAAAAACAACCTAATACAAACTAGGAAGTATAAACTAAAAGATCCTTGATCAAGAGAAAAAGGATCCTTATTGAGAGGAGCATAAAATTAGTCGAAAAATCATAACATGAATGATTTAATATTTTGTGCTAAAGCTAGGAAGTTCTCTAAAATAAACATGTTGTATGACTTGAATATAATGGAAGTTTTATAAAGGTTGGTGCACTGTTTCCTAGGTGTAGTATTAAATATGATGGTTCTCACATCATGGATGGATGTTTGCTAAAAAACTAGTCCAAGAAACGAGAATTATGATAGGAATTTTGAATATAGTTTTTCTTACTTTAAATTTATTGGAATTAATAGATATTATTATTTATTAGAAGATAAATATTCCAAATATTGAAGAAAATGAATGAGTTGGTGATAAGGCTAAAGATAATGATAGCTTTTGAGTTATACTACTGTATTCAAGTAGAAGTTGTACTACAAATGATGTAGGTATAATTATAAATATGCGTTTTAAGAATAATAATGTAGAAATCTATAGAACTAGAGATAGGATTATAATTTCAAAGATTGTTATTGGTGCTAAAATTATTAATGTTGTAAGTTCTTATGCTCCTTAAACCATGTTTAAATATGTGTTCAAAAATAAAAAATTTTGAAAAGACTTAGAAGAATTAATGTTAAATTATATCTTGAAGAAAGAGTTTTTATTGATCAAGATTTAAATGAACATATTAATAGAGTAATAGAAGATTTTAAAAGGATTCATGGTTGCTATGGGTTAGGAACAACTAATGGAAGTGATTGGACCATATTAAAATTTTCTCTAGCTTATGATTTGTAATTGTGAGTACTTTATTTAAGAAAAGATAGGAGCATCTCTTCACTAATAATAATGTATTCAACAAAATTGAAATTGATTAATTTTTTACTAAAAAAAGACAACTTAGATTGCAAAGATTAACAAGCAATTCCAAACAAATGTACATTATTTAAGCAATAATGATTAATTCCAAACAAAAGTATATTTTTTAAGCAATAATGATTATTAGTTTTGATATTTAAGATGATGGCATCAAAATGAAAATTAAAAAATAATATTATCATAGAATTAGATGGGATAACTTATAAATAGTAATAATAATTTTTTTTAGGGTAAAGATAAGAAAAAATATATTTGTTTGTTTATGAGGAAGCTAATTTTATATGAGAAAAAGTAACAAATAATATTAAGAATGTTATGAAGCATGTGCTTGAGGAAGTAAAAGGAAAAAAAATTAAATATTTAAATTGGTGTCTGAGAAATCAAAATGTATAAGAAAATATTTAAAAAAGAAACTTTTAATAATAAATAGTTTATATGAAAAAGGTCCATAAATTATGAAAGATTTAAAGCGGCACACAAGGAGTCTATGAAAGTAATATGAGGTGTACAAAATTAAGCATTAGGTGATTTATATACTAGATTAGAAACTATGGATGGTGAAAGATGTATGTATAATTTATTAAAACAAAAAGATAGTTTGAATGAGATATTTTGATAAACTTTTTTAAGATGGTCTTGAAAATATGAATGGCTTTAGTGACATAGCATCCTAATAAAAGAAATAGATTTTTACTTTATCACCATATTAATAAATTTAAGGTTGGAACGTCTATTAAAAAAATAAAGCATGTAGAAGTAGTAGGACCTAATGTATTCTAATATATATGTGAAAATATTTATTATATAGAGAAATTTCTTTGGTTTACTAAACTTTTTAATATTTTTTTGAAGACTAAAAAGGTGCCAGATAAGTGAAGGAGTGTATTGGTTTTTAATTTTAAGAATAAAGGAGATGCATAAGTATGTGAATTATAAATGATTTAAATTAATATGTCATACAGTAAAATTAAAGGAGAGAGTAATTGAGCATAGGTTATGATGTGATACAAATGCTTACCCAAATTTGTATTGATTCATGCTAAGTAGGTCTTTATTATAAACAATACATTTGTTAAGATACTTTGCTTTAGTCATGGATGTTCCAACTAGACATTTTCAAGAGAATTCTCCTTGCTAGTTACTTTTTGTTGCTAATATTTTTCTAATTAAAAGGATTAGATAGGAAGCTGATAGTCAAGAAAGGAAATTGCTTTGGGAGAGTCTGGAGAAGGGGAGCTGGATTGTTGCTTCTGTATATGGAAGTACTGATAGTCAAGAATGTAAATTGCTTTGGGAGAGTCTGGAGAAGCATTGTTCGGTTGATCTACCTATGGTGGTTGGTGGTGACTTCAACTGCATTCTTTCTCAAGATGAGAAGAGAGGTGGGAGGAAATTCAGCATGTCACAAGGTTCCAAGGATTTTCAGCAATTTTTGAATAATAGTGATCTTCTTGAGGTCAAAGCTTCGGATCCAAGGTTTACCTGGTGCAACAATAAATCTGGTAGTGCTCGGATTTTTGAAAAATTAGACAGATGTCTAATTAACTCCTTGGCTGAACACTTTACAGATTGCTCTTGTCAAACATTTATCTCGCATTGCTTCAGACCATTGTCCGATTCTTTTTGAGATGTTTAAATGAGTGGAAATCATTAAAAGAGATATACGTTATGAGGAAGTTTGGGCTTCTTATCATGGTGCAACAGCTTTAGTAAGGAAGATCTGGAACAGGAAATCTGTTGGTAAACTAGATTCGGTTCTTAATTGGAAATTTAAAAAAGCTCTAAGAGGTCTTTTTTTTTCTGGAGTAGGGAAAAACACAGGAATTTAAATGAGCTGAGAGATAAGTTAAAAAGAGAAATTCTGGAAATTCAGTTAGAGGAATTGGAGAAAGGTATTTCAGTGGAAAGTCTTCAATTGCTTAGATTCAAAATAAATGAACTTTATGTCACTTTAGCTCGTCTCAACGCTTGGTGGAAGCAAAGAGCTAAATAAGGTGGATGGAAGAAGGTGATTGTAATTCTTCCTTTTTTCATGCCTTTGCTAATGCAAGAAGGAATAGCAATTGGATTCATCAAATCAAGAATATGGATGGAGTTATCTCGGAAGAGGAATCTATTACTTCGAAAACTTTTTCTGATTTTTTTAAGTTTAAGTGGCAGCATAGAGTTTTCTCTTTGGATGGGTGGCTGGACCCGTCTAAGATGATTAGCAAAGATGATCAATGTATGTTGGATGCTAATTTTACTAGGGAAGAACTTCAATTGGTGGTGAATAATTCTGAAAGAAATATCTCTCTGGGTTTAGATGGGATAACCTTCTCATTCATGAAAGATTTTTGGAATGTGATTAAGGATGATGTGTGGGCTGCAGTTTTTCAATTCTTGTCCTCTTGTGTTATGGAACAGTCTTGGAAAGAAACTTTGATTGTGCTTTTTCCAAAGATCAAATGTCCTTAAGAACCATCCCATTTCTGGCCTATTAGTCTTTGCATGACTATATACAAAGTTATAGCTAAAATGTTACTAAACAGGTTGGAAAAGGTTATTCATAAAATCATATCGGTGGATCAAGCGGCTTTTGTTAGAGGCCACTCCTTGTCTGATCATGTGCTGGTGGCACAAGAGGTTTTTGATAAGTTCAAATGGTCCAAATCTAAAGCTGGTTTGTTAGCAATCAAGTTGGATGTGGAGTAGGCGTACGATAGCATGGGATGGGATTCTTTAAGGAAAGTTTTCCTTCATTTTAAGTTTCCTCCTAAGTTTATGGAACTCTTATTGCATTGTGTGTTCAATCCAAAATTTTGCATTTTGATTAATGGGAAGAAGATGGATTGGATTGATGGAAAGTGTGGATTTAGGCAAGGTTTCCCTTTATCCCCTTTTCTTTTCATTTTGTGCTCACAAATTCTGTCTGATGCTTTATGTTGAAGGATTAGTAGGGGTATCTCTGTCTCTCGGTTAGCCCATAGAGTTTCTCATTTACTATTTGCGGATGATATTCTAATCTTCTCAGAAGCCAAGGTGAAGGAGGTTAAGAAGTTGAGGAGGATTATAAACAATTACTGTTATTGGACTAGACAGAAAGTTAATTACTCTAAGCCCATGATTTTGTTTGGGAAATATACAAGGAAAAGAGTTCATAAGAAAATAATTAAGCTTCTTAACTTTAAACAGGTTAAGGAGATCAGTTATCTTGGTATTAAAATGGCTTTGAGGAGGTTGAGGCCATCGGATTTCCAGAATCTTTAGATTCAACGGCTGGAAGGCTGAATACATGGGGTTCGAAAAACAACTCTCTGGAAGGTAGATTCATCCTAGTAAAATCTACTTTTTTATCATTACCACTATTCTTGTTATCTCTTTCTCTTGTTCCTTTAAGCATTTTGAAGGAATTTGATAAGATGTGTAGAGGATTCTTATGGAGTAAAGGGGATGGTAATGCTGGAATTCACTACGTTTCTTGGGGCATGCTTTGTAAGCCCAAATGTGAAGGGGGTAGAGGTTTATTCTCGGCTGTTTCAAAATTTGGTCCACTTCGGGCCAAATTTGCTTGGAATTTCCTTAGCAATCCTAATTCTATTTTGAACCAGATTTTAAGAGCTAAATATGGAGAAGATATCTGGTCCTCTTCCGTTAAGACTGGGTGCTCACCGGCTTGGAAAATCATTCTTTGGGTGCTAAGTTTCTTAGAAATGTCGTTAGATGGAGGATTTCCAATGGAGATTCAATCAATTGGATGTATGATTCGTGGATATTGGATAGATGTATTGCTAAGTGGCCTACCTTTGTTAATGTTCAGAATTTTTCTGAATTCTCTCTTAGCTCCTTCATTTCTGATGGCCAGTGGAATTTTGACAAGTTGAGAGAAGTTTTTGGAGTTCATCTGATTGAAACCATCTCTAGTATCCTGATTGATGACAACAGGCAAAGTGATTGGTTGGAACTTATCGGGAAGTTTTTCGGTAAGTCTATCACTGCATTGGCTTCTTTAGCAGCTATGGATCATGAGGAGAAGATTACTCAATGGAATTGGATGAGGAAGCTGAAGTTGAAACCAATTATTGATTTGTTTTGGTGGAGAGTCTGTAACAATTCATTACAAACTTATTCATTTCTTGTGAGTAGAATGTTGAGTACTTTGTTTAATTGTCCAAGGGGATGTGAGGAGGAGGAAAATAGTAACCATATTGTGAGCAATTGTTCTAAACTAAAGAAAGTTATTTTGTTACTAAATAACTGGGGATTTAATGTTCTGGTTTTTAATAGTCTGACTGACTGTATGTTAGGACTTCAGAGGTTGCTGGGTAAGAATGCTTTGGTGGCTAATATGTATTGTACAGTTGTATGGCTTGTATGGAAGAGCAGATGTAGATTGGTACATGGTGACAAAAAAGATTCCGAGAACTATATAGCTGCTAATGCAGTTTCCTATGCTTTAAGAAGCAATTTCTTAAACTTTTAGCCAGATAACTGGAATGCTAACCAGCAATTGCTGTCTTTACATTGGCATCCTTCTCCCCCCGGCTGGATAAAAATTAATGTTGATGCAGCTATCAAGAAGAACAATGTTGCTAGTATTGGTGGTGTGGCTAGAGATGGCAATGGGAGATTTCTAATAGCCTTCGGCTATCAGCTTTTGCACTGGGATTCAGCTCAATTGGAGATGCTAGCTGTGTTGTATCTGAGGAATGTGATCCAAGATTGGATGTTTGAAGCGCAAGGGGTTATCATAGAAGGAGACAACTTCAATATCATTAAAATTCTTCAGAGGTTGATCAAGAGATGGAAGGTTAGTAAAGTAATTGAGGATGACTTGGCTTTTTTACTGAATTTTAAGCAAGTTATTTTTTCTTGCTCTAGTAGATATGGCATAAAATTAGCGGATATATGCGCTAATTTGGATTTGAATGGGTCGTTTTTTTGGGAGGATCTTCATTTTGATTTTGTTCCTTCTTCTTTCTTGTATGGTTTGAAGGAGGAAAGTAGTATTCAAGGTGTGACTTGAGGGTTTTGTAATTGTTTTATTTATGTTCTTTTAATGGAATTTTTTGCATTTCCTTCAAAAAAAAAAGATAGGAAGCTGATGAAAAACAAAAACATGAATTATTCAGATAAAAATAAGAGTAAAAATGCTTTCATTTGACTAGATAAAACAATCAAATATATGGAGTGTAACTTTAGTAGGGAACCATCTAGTGATGGGATTGTGTCATTGGGTGATTATGACATTAGAAAGAGTGCTTGTCTAAGTTATTTCATGCTCATTATTCAAAGCGATGGTGAAAAAGATAGAGATATGTTTGTAAAATTCACATTAGATGGTTAAAGCGGAGCAATGCATCAGGCCAAATGTATGATAGAATAGTTCTGCTCAAACTAAAGAGAATATTTTATAAGATGGTAGTGAGACCTAGAATGCTTTGCGGCACAAAATGTTGGCCATTAAAAAAGTAGCATAAAATTATGTTTAAGTATTACAAAGATGAAAATACATAAGTCGATATGTATATATAATACTTAAGAAACACTCAAAGCTCTTCCCTAGCCGTTGCGTCTGCGTTTTTAGGGCAATTCTGTGGCGATCTTCTTACTCCTCCTACAGGAGTGGTTTGATCATCTTTCGATCGGGGTTTTCTTCCTCATCTCCTTATTTAGGAGCTATGGTAACTTCGTTCCTCTCTATGGATATTGCTTTTAAGGTTTTTCCCCCCATTTTTTTGCCCTATTTTTGGTTTGTTCTTTTTTGGGGTTTTGAGGTTTCTTTATGGTGTCGGTTAATGGGGGGACAATGACTTCTCTGACGTCGTCTAGCCCAGCTGTTCCTCCTGCCTTCACTAGTAAATCTAGATCTTTTAAGGATGTTATTTCGGGAGGTGCGTCTTCTGCTACTCCGAGAGTCCACTTTTTGCATTCGTCGTTTAAAGGTTGTCTGGCTCTTTTGTTTGAAGATGCTGTTGTTAATCAACTTGCTACTCTATTTACTTTCATTCTTGTTGGAAAATTTGTTTTAAGAAGGTCGAATTTGGATGTGATTCGTAAATTTTTCCATTCCCTTAAACTGTCTGGTTCTTTTAATGTGGGATTGTTGGATCCTAGGCATATAGCGATACAATTATCTAAATAATTAGATTATAGCTGTATCTTTTCCCGTCGATCTTACTATATTCAAGGCTGTCAAATGAGGTTGCTTAAATGGTCACAATATTTTGATGTGAGGGAGGAATCTCCCATTGCCACGTTGTGGATAAATTTTCCGAACCTTCGCTTGCATTTTTTTAACACGCAAATTTTATTTGGTCTTACATCTGTGTTTGGTAGACCTTTACAGATAGACCAAGCTACTGCCTCTCTATCTAGGCCATCTGTGGCTAGAGTTCTAGTTGAAATGGATGTTACGAGAAAACAACCGCATGAAATTTGGTTAGGCTCTGAAGTGAATGGTTACTTTCAAAAGGTTGAAATTGAAAATTTACCTATTTTTTGTTCTCATTGTAAGATGCCTGGTCATGCGATTAATGAATGTTTTTGTTTACACTCGAATCTTTGTAAGGAGAAAAATACATCAAAAGCCAATGTTAATGTTGTTTGTGAGAATTCGCATTTGCCATTGGGTCAAAAGGAGGTTAATGTTGTTGCTGCTACTTTGGATGTGGGGGCTCTAAATTGTGATAATGGGGGGAAAGAGAATGTTATACTTGATGTTTCCTTACTTAACGAGCCCAATCCTGCTTTTAGTTTTTCTGTTCCTATTATACGTGAGAATGCTACTAATGAACCAGAAATCTCTTCTAATATTGCTATAGAGGAAGTTCCTAATCTTTTGGAACAAGAAAAGTAGCTAAATGCGAAAACTGTCAACAGTTCAGACAATTTGGTTGTTGTTCTTGTCATCAGGGATGTTGAGTCATCCAAGCCTTTAGAAACAAAGCAAAATTTTGTTATTGCTAATGATGCTATTCATTCCACGATTAATCAAGTTGATCTTCAACTTATTAATGATGATTTTTCTAATGCTTTGACATATCATCTTCCAATACATCGGAACATCTCTACAGTGGAAGATGGTGTGCTTTATTTGGAAGGTGGTAAGTCTTACTGGGATCCGTTAGGTATTGAGAATAATGATGAATTACTTTTATCTGACCATTATCACTATGATGCCATTATTGACACGGAAGTTGATATTCTTGCAAAATGTTATGTTAGAGAGGACAATGATTTGAGCTTTTCTAAAGGCCATGGCAAGAGAGGTAGAAAGCCTATAAACATTATTTTACAGTCCCCTGGGACTACTCGATTGCATACTTTTCATTAATTTGGTTTTTTAAGCTTAACGCTATTATTTGGAATGTAAGGGGGATTGGGTGTCCTTCCTCGAAACTTAAAGTTAAAAATTTGTGCCGTATTCATAATATCTCTTTACTTGTTTTGCTGGAACCTCTTATTTCTATGTATAAACTTTTAGGTACTGCTAAAGTTTTGGGTTTTAAGCATGCTTTTGCTAATGTGGCCAATAAGATTTGAGTTTTTGGAAAGATTTTGTAAGAATTGATATTATTGGTGATTATTCTCATGTTCTTCATTGTAATATTGAATCATTGAAGTTTTAATGTGTTGCTTCTTTTGTTTATGCTTCTTCCTCTCGTTTTTCTAGGAAAATCTTATGGGAGCAAATTAAGAATTTTCACACTGTGTGCGCCCTTGCTTGGTTGGTTGGTGGGGACTTTAACACCATTACTAACTCGGCTAAGCGTGTTGGATTTTCTCTCCCTATTTATTAGTCTATGGAGGACTTTAATGATATGATTATGAATTGTAATCTTATTGACGTTGGTTTCTCGGGTAACAAATTTACTTGGCATCGGGGTCATTTATGGCAACGGTTAGATAGAGTACTTTTTAATAATGCGTGGATTAATGTTTTTTATTCTACTAAGGTGGAGCATCTTAGTCATACTCTCTCTGATCATTCCCCTTTGCTTATTAATGTTAAGGTTAAGACTTTGGGCTTGCATTCTCAATTTAGATTTCAGAATATGAGGTTAACTCATGAGTCCTTTCTTAATGTTGTGCATAATAATTGGAGCGCCCCTATTTTTCCTACTGATTCTATTTCTGGTATGGTTAGACTTTGGTTTAAGTTGAAAAGGTTAAAACTTGTTTTGATTTGGTGGAATCACAATATCTTTAAGAATATTTTTTCCAATATTATGCTGGCGGAAGAGAGGATTAATTCCCTTGAGGATAGG